GAATCTTGACTATGATATAACTGGCTGTAGAATTTTTTTCTTTTTATTTTGGCTGACTGGAGGGCTATATGCCTCACTTAACTGTGTATCACATTCTTTTTCTCCACCAGGGGAGTTTTCTGCCATGATTCCTGTGAATAGTTGCTTTTTGTATCATTTATCTCCTGTTTTTTCATTGACTCCAATCAATGTTAGGTTATTTTTCTTTGCCTCATCTAGCAGCCGCTGGATCAATTTCTCATAGTCTCACCCTATTTCTAAGAACTCGTTCTTTTCATGATTGCTAACTACATGCCTGTCTTCTGTATCTGAGTTCCTGTCTTAACATTGGCTTAATCTGCTATAGATACTTTCGGGGGAATTTTGTTCTCCTGGATATCTGCTTGAATCTGCCTTATAGATTCCATTTCTTTCGTATGCTGAGCACTCATGGCTTTGAGAATTTTCTTAAGCTCCTCTAGTTTTCTGTCTGTATCTGCTCTAGAATCACTAAGCATGGTTTTTTCCCCCTTCATTGCACTTTTATTTGAATGCTAGTATTTGAGACAGTTGTCCAAAAGAGCCGATATTTCCCAATTCAATTTTGAGATAATAAAACAAGTAACAAAACAGTGTTTGGGATTTCGGTTTCTCACCCTTGTCACGAAGACTCACTGCCTCCCATCACCAGTATTTATTGAGCATTTACAGTGTACTAGTCACAATAGAACATACGGAAAACATCGTCCCTGTTCATGAAGAGCTTATATTCTAAAAGGAAAAAAAAATACACCTCTTTTAAAATGGCAATTTTGTTTGGTGTTTTCTGTAAAGAATTGAGGAAGTATTCTGCAGGGTGAACTTCGGGTGTAACTTAGCCCCATCATTATTTAGGGAAGAGAGAAAGAGAAAAGGATTTTAAAAGCAGACAACAGACTGTTTGGGGTAGGGTGGGGTACAGGGAGAGAAACACGCTCTCCTCAGCTAAGGAGAGACGAGCTGCAGTGAAGAGGAGGAGGAAGCAGTTCATGGGATGCAAGCAGAGGAAGCAGGCATCTTAGACATCGAGTGGAGCGAGAAAGACCATGCGTCCTTTTCCCAAGCATGTGGCCACCAAATAGGAAGGGCTGGTGACAAGACAGAAGGCTAAAAAAGGTCATCTTGTGCACCCGACAAAGAGTGAAGGATCAAAATTGAAGGCAAGTTATAGAGAGTATCAAGAAATTCTTAAAAACCAAAAGTAATCTGGAAGCACAAAACTTACAGTTAATGCTGCCCAGTGTCATGATGGGCCAAGAACATTGTGGCTTCCTGAGTTAGACAATGCCATATACCAAAATTTTAAATGGAACACATTAGTTTTTTCCCCAATCTCCCCCTCCATCACAAAATATTTTTTTCATATCAATTATTTTTGGGGGGAAGTGAGGAGATATGGGACATGGTTGAGAATGGTAGTTGTATTACTAGTATTTTTGTTATGATAAACTTTGCTTTTAATCTTGGAAAAAGCCTTTTAGCTGCCAAGAGGGAGTAAGAAATAAATTTCCAAGAAATACAGTTTCCTTCAGAGAAGTTTTGAAATCAAAAGGCTAATGTACATGAAAAGCTGTAGAGAAAGTAGTTGAAAAGTCCATTCATAAAACTTTTATTCCACTTACATGAACTTAATACATATGTTCTTAACAATTATTGTTCATGAAAATCGCTGCAGATATCCCTCAGCTCAGTCTCATTTTTCTGTCTGTATTCTCGAGCCATCTGCTGCTTTTTCTCAGCACCTTCCATCTTTTGCTCGATACTTGAGACAGCCCTCCAAGATGACCTACGGGCTCCTACAGCATCTTTATAAGCAACGGAGAGAAGGTTCCTCTCCTCATTAGATAATTCAGTGAAGAAAGAAAAAAAAAGATAATTCAGCGCCTTGCTCAGTTACAGACTTCATAGGCTGCCGTATCATCCTTTTGCTCTGCCTGCTCGGCCAGTTTGGCCTTCTGCACCAGCTCGTTTTTATCCATGCCTGAATGTCCTGTGTCCCGGGTGGGTGTGGCGGACGGACAGGTGCAGTGGTCTCTGGGCGGTGGCGGTGAGGCTGAGACTCTGTCCCTGGATCTCGCTGCTCACAGGCTACCAGCATGATTTTCCTTCCTTCCTTCCTTCCTTCCTTCCTTCCTTCCTTCCTTCCTTCCTTCCTTCCTTTTTGTGGAACTGAGGATTGAACTTACGACCTTGTGCTTGCCAGGCAGGCACTTATTCTACTGAGCTATCTCCCCAGCCCTAAGCATGATTTTCATTGTGGATGCCATTCTCTGCAGTTATCTAAAAAGTTATTTCTGATTTGATTTTTTTTCTAGAGCCTCATTTAATTGCTTTGTTGTTACTACATTAGGGAGGTGGGGGGGTGGTTTTCAGATTGTTGCACCTCACTTCCCTCTGGGTTTGCCTTTGGTAAACTGAATGTGTGAGGTTGCATTTTGTTTAAGTGCCTTTTTCTTTTCTTTTGTTTTTTTAGTTTGATTCCTGGGGCCTGTGGTGGGTTGCTTTATGGCCAGTATTTAGAACCCTTAGGAAATGACTACTTCTCCTAGTTATCTTCCATGTTTAGGTGTTTTTTGGGTTTTGAGTCTGTTGTAAGTTCCTATCTCTTCAATTTTTGGGGGATGAGAAGTTGCTGCCTTTTTGGCCCAGCCCCTGGTTCTTTGGTACTGTGCCACAGTATTTTCTATGACCCTTAGTCAGTCTCAGTCTTGAAATACTAGGAAGAACAGCTGTTTAAAATAATTATCAGGACAGGGATATAGTCAAGCCATATGGCACAAATGCCTCCCTGGCAAGTACAAGGTCCTGAGTGTGATTCCCAGTACCAAAAAGGACAAAAAAAAAATTATGTCAGTTGTGGCTAAAGCGTTACTATCAGCAATAACAGTACAATAATCACAGCCTAGAGCATGACAAACTAAAGTAACCATGAATTTTCCATCCATAACCATGTGAACTAGATTTGTAGTTATATAACAAAATGTAAAACAAACCAGAATGTATATGCAGTATATGTGTCCTTAATGTGTTAAATTTTGCCCTCATGTGTTAAAATTTAAAATGGACTAGGAAGAAAATAAAGACTTGGAAGAAGAGGAAGAGATTAGAAGTAAGGTTGGAGGACAAAGGAGGATCACGATAACTTTGGGAAACTGGTGCATAAATCTAGAGAGAATGAAGAGGTAAAAAGAGAAGGAAGAGATAAAAAGCAGAACAGAACAGAACCACAACCACAGAGAAGCTAGAAACCATGTTCACATTCATATAAGAACAAGATCAAACAATGAAGGAGAAAAAAACAAAAACAAAAAACCCCCCAAAAAACAAAAACAAAACCACCACCACAAAAACAAACAAGAGAGAGGAAAAATAAAATCTGCTTCTGGTTGTGTCTCTGCTGTCGCTGGTGGACAACATATAGACACAGAGTTGTGACTCGTGCTGACTTATGCCAGCAAGCCAGCAGTAGCTTTGTGGCTGTGTAGTGGATCATCTCAGCAAGCCTGCACCTTCTGGCTAAAACCAGACTCGTTCAGCCTAAAGCTGTCAGTGCACCTTCCTCAGGCCCAGGCTTACCTGGGAGCTGCTGGAGGCCTCCACCAGCCGTTCTGAGTTCTGAGATCAGCTGGCCCCTCTCCAAGACGTCTCCTGACCAATGGCTCTCTCTTGTGGGACAACTGAGCCCTCAGCACTCACTGCCAGCTAGTGTAGTCTTGCATGTGCACTGCTCCCCTTTCCTGTAGTCTTTCATGGAGGCCTGTAAAGTTAGCAGTGGTCACTGTGTGTCCAAAGGCTTGATTCGCTCTTCGCTCCTCTCACACAGTGAATCTTGCTTCAGGGAGAAGGCACTGCCAGCTACCTCCTTCTTCATTGAAGTTTCTCTTTTTTTCCTCTCTGCATGGGCTTCACATCCTTTTTAGGTTCAAGGGACCTGCTTCCTTCCTTCTTGTCTTCCTAGTGTTACTATATTCCAGCATCTGGACGGCAATTCTCAGAGAGGCTTTCTCTTCTGCTTACCACTACACCATCTTCAAGAAGCATATTTTGAGATGATTGTAAAAAACAAGTTGCAGAAATTAGAAACATCAGAAAAATACAGTATTCAGAATTAAATCTTTCCTACCCAAAGATGTTCATTACAGGATGTAAGTCATTATTATCCTGTCCATAAAATTTATGGTTACTTGTTACTCTGTGAATTATTTTTAAGTAAACTGTTCCAAATACAATTAAAAAAAATGTATTTTGTACAGGGTCTCAGTACTGAACTCGGACTCATAGTGATCCTCCTGTTTTTAGCTCCCCTGTGCTGGGATTACAGGCGTACGCCACCACGCCTGACCTCAGTGGCTGGCTCAGCGCCCCCAGGGACTGGGCTGGCATGGCATGTGGTGTTGAGGAGTGAACACTGGTCTCTGCACTTGCCTAAGCAGGCACTTAGTCTGCTGAGCTATCTCACCAGTCCCAATTTCTTTTTATTTTAAAGAGAAAAAAGCAGTATAAATGATTCATAATTTCAAAATAAGGCGATAGGAAATTAACAATGGTTATTATATTGCATATTGTTATCTTCAAAGTAGTTGCTCAGGTTATCAGATATAGGCAGGCTAACTTGAGCAAACAACATAAACACTAACAGTTCAGTTCGGTGAACAAATAGAAATTAGTAGTACAATTAGCTTAGCTAAAATATATGTATATATTTACATATACTACATGTATATATTACATATGTATATATTTCCCCCCTTTCTTTTCAGTAGTTTTTTTTTTTTTTTTTAAACAAAGCTCCTTTTCTTTAACCTCTTCCTGGGTGCAATTTGACCGCCTCCCATTCTGTAAGACTACCAACGATTACAAGAGAACATTTCTCCAGGCTAAAGAAGTACAGCAGCTTTCTTCTACATGAAGACAGTATCAGAGATTCATTTGTGCTTTTACATTAAAGGAAGCACTCTCCTTTATCTTTTTTTTTTTTTTAGATCACATGGCCAAGGAGCCAGTGGAAGACACAGACCCTAGCACTCTGTCTTTTAACATGGTAAGTTACACATGTTCCATTTGTAGCCATACCCCTAGTTTTAGTTTTTTTTTCTTTTGTCACTTCACATTTTCCTTAGTGGGTTTTTTCTTAGAAGAGTTTTGGTAGAACTCAAAGTAAGATTTCTTATCTTTATTTGGCATTCTTCCTGGAAGAACAAACCTTGGGTTTGTCCAGACTGGAAATGGTGTGCATTGGATCCTATTCCTGTTTTGTGCGTACCAGAAGTAGTATTAGATTTTTAAAGTCTTTGCCTATCTGTCTACTTTTATTTTTTATTTTTATTTATTTATTTATTTTTGAGGTACCAGAGGTTGAACTCAGGACCCTCAGCTTGCCAGGCAAGCACTTATTCTACTGAGCTATCTCCCCGGCCCCTTATCTGTCTACTTTTAATACTATTGGTCTACTTTTAATTCAAACTAATCTAAGGGCCAGAAATCTTACTTTGAGTTCAATCCCCGGTGCCACAAATTTCCCAGTGTCCCCTAAATGCTGGTGCACTGGAAGACAAGCCCTCATCACATGAGCCTTCTGATTCACTTACTAATTTTTGTTGGGAAGAGACTGGAAGCTTCTAGGAGTTCCAAAACTTCACTGTCCAACTCCAGAGGAACTCAAGGAAAGCATCAAAATAAAACCTTGAATTCCACGTTTACTTTTCTCCTTTGTCATGGAATAGGGGAGACCTGAAGAAAATTTGAAAGAAAGTTTGACCCCTTGTTCAGACTGGAGGGCCAGGGACCAGTCAGGAGTGGAGCTGGGCAGGGGTTGGGGACAGGATAGGGACAGTGGGCACATTCTCACTCCTTTCTTGGAAGCTTCAGAGAATGGCTGCATTGTTTAGCTGGCATAGGTTTCCAGAACATTAGCTACCTACAGATAAGTGTGAAGAAATTAAGTCATGTGCCATTGTAAGAGCATTTGAGATTTGAATTCCCTTTAACACGTGGGTGTCGTAGTCTCTTTGCCATCGCTGGGACACATACCTAACACCCACAGCATAAAGGAGAGATGTATTTGGCTTCCAGTTTCCAGCGGATGCAGTCCCTGTGTGCTGTAAGGGAGGAACAGCATGGTGCAAGGCCCTGGCACAGGGCAGCTGCTTGTCTACGGCAGCCATGAAGCAGAAAGCAAAGGGAGGTGCTGAGGACAAGAATACACCCTTCCAGGTCACATCCCAGGGACCCATCCCCAAGCAGGCCCTCCTCCCTTCAGCACAGTCAGCTTCTGAGCTCATCAATGGATGAAGCCACCGATGAGGACAGCACCCTCAGGCTCCAGTCACCTCCCTGCAGCCTCACCTTTACGCACGTGAGACTGTATGGCTCTAAGCCATAACAACAGGCCTACTGAGCACCGTGTGTAGTTGTGCATAGTTAGTAACTGGTCTTGAGGTCTTTGCACGAACAGCTCAGTTACCTTTGGAATCTCTTTCTAGGATTCAAACCCAATAGTACCTACTGCCCAGAACACAGCACACTCATTGACCCATGTGACTGTCATAGAAATGGTTGGAAGAAATAGGTCTGTCCTCATAATGCATGAAAAGAAAAGCCTCTTGATTTCAAGCTGTAGCAAGTAGATAGGAAGACGAACCCTGCAGGAGAAAGGAAGTACTGTGTAGTAGTGGTCAGAGCCAAGGAAATTAGAATAAGGCTTATTCTCCTTTGGTTTCAGCGTTAGTTTTTTGTCAACCTTGATTTCACATCTATAAATCGAGAAGAAAAGCGGCCAATGGGGCAGGCCTACAGACAAATCTGATGCTAACCATTTCCACCGTTTTAAATTGAAACCATGACATTTCCAAGACAAAGCTTTCTTTCACTTTGATCCTCTAATTTGACATTTTAAAATAACTCTTTTCTTTTGTTGGATTCTACAGTCAGACAAATATCCTATTCAAGATACAGCACTCCCTAAAGGTATGTACAGTTAATATAACTACTTGAACTTGTGATTAATTTAGTATGTTGAACAAAGCACTAGTCAAAGTAATTTTTCATTCTTGAAAGTGGTAAAACAGAAATTCACCGATCATTTAACTCTTGATTTTTTTACATGATTATCTCAAATGAATTAAAAAGTATAAATTGTTCTGTGCCAGATGTTATGTTACATTCCTGTGGGTTTTGTTTTTGTAGCACTGGGGATGGAACACAGAGCCTTCACCCTGAGTTGTATCTCCAGCACTTGCTATTTTGAGTTCAGATATGCTCTCAGGCTCAGTCTCTCTGCGTTCTTCTTTGTTGACTCTGTTCTCAGGCAGGATTTCCCCACACAGAGGCAGAGGCGCCTCCACCAGTGCCAACATCAGGCTGTGCTGCTCAGTATGGCAGAGAAGTGACCCCAGCAACTGCTCATTTTCCGATGACTGTGGGGGAGGCAGCCTGGGTTCATGTGTCCATCCCTGAATGAATTCTTGCATCAGGAGGACAGGGGACATTGGCCAGCTCTGAGCCTTTATATCAAGAGGGGCAGAGTCTGATGCAGATTGTATCTGCACCACAGGAAAAAGTGCCCTGTGGCTGGACAAAGGGGCAAGGTCAAGCAAACCAAACAGCAGCCTTCTACAACCCAGTCTCAGGCTTAGACATGGTGCAGACCACTGAGGTGGCTGAGCCCTGCCTGGATTTTCACAATCTCTGCTTCTGAGTGGACTGCAAGGCCATCTTCCATTATGAGGGGGAAACTGCTGTTTGTCACCCTGGAGCTCTGCTGACAACCTGGAGATGCAGGAGGTTGGGTGGGGCAGGAACATGTGTCTTCAGAGCTGGCAGGGTACCTGGCCTCTTGGTCACCAAGGCAAGGTCAGTCTGCTCAGTCTCTGCTCCTATGGGTTTCTGGCCACCAGGACTAGATTTGGATTTAAATCCTGGTTGTGTGGTGGGAGGGTGAGATTACTAGCAATCTCTCTTCCCCTGTCCCCTTTCTGGAAATGACCCCTGAGTCTTTGAGTCACCAAGCTGGGACTCAATCTCAGCAGGTAGTGGAGAGTGCAGGTCTGGCACAGGGATGGATAGCAGGCCAGTGTGGGCTGGTTCTCATGCTTCTGTTTGGATTCAGGGGAGCCTATTTAGAATGCAGGTTTGCATTCTAATTTGGATTCAGGGGAATCTAATTAGAATGAAGATTTGCCTCGCACCAAAAAAAAAAAAAAAAAAAAATTGCAGATTTGATGGATCTGGGGCAGGGCATTCTAACCTACACCAGAGTGGTTGGTATGTAGACCCCTGCCTGGCATGCTCCCAGGAATGTAGAGGGGAGAATCAAACCCCTGCTGAACAGTCTAGCTCTAAGCAGCCACAGGCTGCTTTCTGGAGCAGGAAATGACTTTCTGGAGTAGGAAGGACCAGGTTGGCATTCCCCTTTTAGGATTGCAAGAATTCAGTGAAGTGGGGTCTAGAACTGTGCCTGACACTTGAACACCAAACAAGGGTAGAGAGAAAGTGGGTCGAAGAAGTATGGAAAATCAGGGTAGAGGTTGTGAAAGTACCTTAATGGAGGGGTTTAGGTGGACTGCCTGAATCTTCTGACTCAGCATCTTTTCTGTATCAACCTTGAATGAGATTTCCTGTTTGCGAAGATGACTGTTGCTTAGCAACCTGATCCTACACTTACCAAGATTTGCTAGAATTTGAGTTTATAGAACCTTAATTAAAGTTATTATAGATTTACAAGAAAAGTGACTCTGAAAACTATCTTAGAACTATCTTTCCTTTGTCCTTGTTCGTGGTGAACAATGTTAAATGCATAATTTCTTATCTCCACAGAAACACATCATGTTATATGTAAATGAACCACAGGTAGAAGTTTAGAATCTTACTCTAACCATTTGCATTCAGTAATGTAATAATTTACTGTCTCCTAGGACATTTGTTGAACTTCACAAATAGAGCCAATACTGTCATTAGGTGTTTATGGTAATTTCATCATTAAGATGTTTTCAGGGAAAGAAAACCCATATGAACTAGTGATGAGACTAATTTGTAGAGCTAAAAGTAAATGTATCCTAATTATATTCAATATCAACTAGGATTCCAACATGCAAGTGAATTTTAGGGGGGCTACTTTAATAGAGGAGTGATACGTAATTAGCTCTAATAATTTCCATATGGTTTCAAAGCTATTAAATTCATTTTCTTAAGCAAACTAAGCATGTTTCACAGAACCTCTGTTATATGACTAGTATATCCCTACTTGATTCATGAGCAAAGTTTTTTTTTTCTTTTTTGCACTACTGGTGATTGAATCCAGGGGTCTTTGCTCCAAGATACACCTCCCCCCACCCCCATTCTTTTTGTATTTTGAGACAGGGACTCACTAAATCAGCCTGCTTTAGTACAGACAGGCATGTGCCACCATGCCTGGTTCAAAAACCCATTCTTTAACATAGGCTAAACTAGAGTAATTTTTGAAGATGTGGCTTCATCAGCAAGTCCTCTGGGGAGATCTGCTGTGATTTCAGCAATCAGCTTCTGATTTGTTATTTCTCGTTGTGACTAAATGCAGAGTTCCCACCTCATCCCACCCACTCCAAGCCCTGGGTCTCAGCAGTCTCAGGGTGGCATTCTGTCGGCCGCTCCACTGCCACTTCTGCTGAGTGTCTGCAGCCCCTGGTCTCAGAACTCCTGAGTTCTCAGAACTCCTGTGCAGTGGGGGTTGTCTTAGCCCGCATAGTTTCTGCTTCCTCACAAAAGTTGCTGACATGAGTGTTCTGAAAGGAATGTGGCTGCTCTTTACATTGGAAGGGGAAAAAAAGTGTTTGGAAAAAGAATTTTGATTTTTGAGCCACTGTTCACAGAGGTATAAAATTGCCCATAGCTAAACACTCACACAAATGCATTTGGCCCACCTGCTCTTTTTTTCTCATGTTGCTCAAAATTTTTTATAGTACATTTACAAGGTAAAGAGAAGTGAGGTAGACTGAGGGATTTGGAGATGGTTGACATTTTAGGCGCTTGGGGTATTTTTTTTTGGAGAGGAGGAGGGGACCTATATTTTAAATAAGCTTCCCGTAAGATGCTTCCTCCAGGGATACCAGTAGATCTCCCTGGGCAGGGCCACCTCCAAGGGCTTTTGCCTATGGCCTGGTGAGGCCATCAAGCCCTGAAAGCAAGATGCCTCCTTTGGGTGCTGGTGAGCATTGGGCTCAGCAGAGTGCTGTGCTCTGGCCAGGAGAGTGGTGCGTAGCCAGCATCCCACTCTGTGCTTTCCATCAGCCCTTCAGCCTTGATGCCCTTGGGGTAGGGGAACACAGGCAACAACAAGAGGACAGGCAGGTCACTGCCTTTGCCTGAATGGCATGAGCCAGGTGCCAGGCAGAATTTCCTCCCACAGTGAGCACCATTCCTCCTTCGAACCTCACAAGGGCCCACCACACCGGTGCTGGGTGCGCACTCACAAGCCGTGTCTAGGACAGTGTGCAGTCAGCGACCCGGATGCGCATCAGGCTAATGCAGCAAAGGGGTGGGGTGTCCCTGGTTACCTCTAGAGGGGACATGTGATTGGTTTTTGAATAATTTCATGTATTTTTTGAGAATTACCCCGAAATAAGCAGAATTGTGCCTAATCCCCTGATAAGGGGTATGGTGTGGCTTGGGGACCTTATCTTGGAAAAAGAGTTGAGAAAGGAACTTGAAATTAGGTGATTCCAGGCTCTCCTGATTTTGTCAGGTGTCAGTGCAGCACCCTGATAGTGAGCCTTAATTTTAGATCTTACGTGAGAGTCTGTGCTGCTTTTATCAAGTTGTGTGTCTTTTTCCCTCCTAGCTGAAGAGTGTGATACAGTTACTCTGAACTGTCCACCACATTCTGATGAGCCACATCAGGTAAGAATAATTGCAACACTTTGTTGCCACCATAGGTATATGATAATCAAGCAAGAATTTTTTAAAAGAATGATTTGATAGAGGTGTTTTTTTTTTTTTTTTGGCAGAACTGGGGATTGAACTCAGGTCCCTGCACTTGCCAGGCAAGCACTTATTCCACTGAGCCATCTCCCTGGGCCCTGATAGAGTTTTAAAAATAAAGAATGAATAACAGGATTTCTTGGTCATGAAATAGCTTGGAAAATAATCTTTTAAGTATCTCATTAAGATAGTATGCCTGTGCAGACAGGTGCAACCACTTGCAGACAGGTGCAACCACTATGAAAATCAGTGTGGTGATTCCTGCAAAAGCTGGGATTGGCGAGCCCATTCAAGCCAGCTGTTCCCCTCCTGGGTATTTTTCCAGAAGAACTGAAAACCTCCTACCAGAATGTTATAGGTGCACCCATGTTTATAGCAATGGAATTTATTATACCTAAATTCTGTAAACAACCCGGATGCCCATCAGCTGAAGAATGGACAACAAAGGTGTGGTATTTTTACACAATGGAGTATTATTCAGCTATAAAACAGGATAAATTTAACTCTTTTGTTGGTAAGTGGATGCCACTAGAGAACATACTCTTAAGTAAAATAAATCACACCCGCATGTGCAAAAAAAAAAAAAAAAAGATAGTATACCTGTAACATTTTTCTAATTTCTAATAATTGGTAGCTTTAGTTGGTTCCTTGATTTAAGTGTTTATTTACATGCCAAGAACAAAGCATTGATATTGGTGTTAGGAAGGAAAAATTTTCTTTCTTTTTACATGCAATTGGCAAACTGTGGGTGGGAAAAGATTATTTTTAAAGACAGAACAATTCTGGATATTCTAATATAACACTTTTATGATGGTTTATAAAACTTTTACTTTTTTCAGATTTCATAAGTCAAACTTAGCATATTATTATCTTCTCCTTAAAAGCATGTTTGTTGTATTCTGATTTTAAAAGATTTATTGAAGTTCAAATTGTGGGGAAAAAATGTGATTTCCCTGCTCACCTTTGGAGGTGCCTCCTTTCCGGGCCTCTCTAGGTCACCCTGAGCTTCAGCTGCTGCTTCTCGGGTCTGGTCCCTGCTGTTTGCACTCACTCAAAGCTCATTAGCAATACTGTGTGATACCTCAGATCTGCTGAATGCTAAATAAAGCGTTAAATGTCTCAGAAAGCATGCGTTGCCTCCAGACAGGCTGGTTCATACCTGCTCAGTTCATACGCCAAGTTGATTTCTAACACTTTTGTTTAGTCTTTCTTAACAAACATCAGTTGGTTTTTAATACTGGTATCTTTGAGTTCTTTAATTACCTCGGTCACTGAGCAAAGTTACATAATAGTTGATAAGAAACTTAGTTGTGTAGCGCTGGCTGTCTTGGAAGTTGCCTGTAGTGCTTTTAGCTTTCTGTGGGGGATTTTAATCACTAACTGTGAATATGAGATTCTTTCTCTTTAATTCTGATACTCAGCTTTTCCTCTAAACTATAATCTAGTGATTGATTGACTTCTGCACTGACAAAATTTACACTATTTCACTAAACCAAAAATATAATTTTTCTTAGTTTTAATTTCTTTAACAAAATTTTGCTCATTGGGCTTTAAAATATGATACAGATTTCCTTAAAGATCAAAGGATACTGCATTTTTTGTTTTTAATTTGATTTTAGGGAAATTCCAAAACTACTTTAGATAAATGCATAGAACTTATATTACGAGACTGTTAGTGTTTTTAAAATTTTAATGTTACAATCAGGGCTATGTTCTTACAAACTGTCCTAAAGGATGAAAATGTGTTTAGCAACTAAAATAAAGGAGGGTAAGAAACCTATTTGATATCTTTAAAGTTCTAGTTTAAAACAGAATGTCTTCCATAAAAAGTAGGACTGTAAGCTAGCTACTTCAGTTTGTTGTTTCTTTGTATAATCTATAGGATTTGTTCTAACTGCTGGATACCCAGAAAAACTCTTTGAAACCAACTTGGCACTGAGAACAAAGAAAACTCGCTAGAGAAGAAACGTTTAAAAGAGAAAAAGTGAAAGCAACCCACCCTCCATTTTCTATAGCTTAGACATTAAAAGCAAGCTGCGAATGATTCTTGTAACATGAAAACTAAGATCCACTTTCACTAAGACTTACTTCCTGATGCCATTCCTTGAGTCCTGCAAAGGAGAAATGTCCTAGGTGTCTGATGCAGAAATTAAAGTTTCAGGCAAAATCTTACAATGAACCCTTGGCCTTCAATCATTTAAAATCAGTTATCCCATCTACTCACGTTCTCCTGTTCCTTCAGTTGATAACAGTTAGTGTTTATTGAACCTATAGTCTCAGAGACCTTGACTGAGAGGTGGTGGTGTTGTTTTGCTGGGGCTTGAACCTTCAGCCTTCTCGCTGAGCTAATCTCCAATCCTTTGTATTTTTTAAATTTTGAGATAGGGTCTCACTAAGCTGCAAATTGTATAGGCTTGGCTAATCTTGTGATTGTCCTGCCTCAGCATCCCACGATGCTGGTGTTACAAGGAGTACACTACTAGGCCTGGCTGTTGTCTGTCTGTCAGTCTGAGTTGAATCTGTATCTCTCTCTCTCCTCCTCTCCCCTCCTCTCCCCCCTCCCCACCCTCCTTTCTCCGTTCTCTCTCTCTCTCTCTCTCTCTCTCTCTCTCTCTCTCTCTCTCTCTCTCTCTTGCGCGCCCGCATGTTTGGAATAAAATGCAGGATCTTGCATATTCAATGCAAGTGTTCTACCACTGTGCTGCACCCCTAGCTTTTGATCTGTGCATTTTTGCATGTGAAAAGGAAGGAGAGGGAAGACAGGGATGTAAGAGCCAAAGCAGAATTTATAGACTTGTTGGAGAGGAGTACACACAAAAGTCAGATTCTAGGATGGAATCATGGCTCATGTGTATAAATAATTTCCAGGATGTTTTATGTTAAAGACATTTTTTAGCTGGGCATGGTGGTGCATGCCTGTAATCCCAGCATTTAGGAGACTGAGGCAGGAGGATCGCTGTGAGTTCAAATGCAGCCTGGGGTACATAAGCACATTCAAAGCCAGGCTGCACTACATAGAGGAACCCTATCTCAGAGGGAAAATAATGAAGACATTTTTTCTAACCCATTTTTTAAGAGAATAAAAATAATCATAAAAATAAAAACAATACAAAATTTCACTGAACAAGGTGGTAGGAATTCAACAATGGTTGTTATATTGCATACTCTTATCTTAACATTTTTAACTACACATGCAAGTGTATGGCTAATTAGGGTAAAGCCAATTTTTTTCCAGTTTGTAGCCAAGAAGAGTGTGAACTAATACTAAAAAGAAGAAAAATAGTAAATATTAAGATGCTAAGCTGGCCTGCTTAGGCAAATGCAGGAGCTGGGGTTCCATCCCGGGCACCACATGCTGCTCTGGCTCCGCCCCCAGGCGTGTTGACCCAGTGACCCAGTCCAAGCATGGTGGTGACCACCTGTAATCTCAGTGCTAGGGATGCTGAAAACAGGATCATTATGAGTCTGAGCTGTGTATTGAGACCCTACACAAAATAAAAAGGGGGGGAGACGGAGGGAGAGAGAGAGAGAATTAAGATGCTAAACTGAAATTATAGGTTATGGAAAGAGTGGTATTTCCTCTGTGTTATTAGGTTTGACAAAACTAAAGTTTGGAAGTTTCAGAAACCACATTAATTCTTGCCTCATTTAGTTACTGCAGAAGCATCATACTAATGTAAGAAGTTAATCATACGGGAAACTGGATGTGGACACATAGACCCTCTATAATGTCTTCTTGAGGGCCAGCCAAATAGCTCAGTGGATTAAAGCACCTGCAAGTAGGTGCAGGGCCTGGGGGTTCGATCCCTGGGCCTGCCTGCCAGCCCTGCCCCTGGGGCACTTTGAGATGGCAGTTGAGACTGGCTATAATCCCAGCACTTAGGAGGCTGTAAACAGGTGGATCACTATGAGTCCGATCTAGTAGAGAAACCTTGAACATGCTATAGACTCTTCCCTAAAATACAAAAAAAAAAAAAAAAAAAAAGTCTTAAATTTTCTGTAAATCTGAAACTGTTTTAAAATTTAAATTTTATGGGGGCCAGGGAGATGGCTCAGTAGAATAAGCACTTCCCTGGCAAGCGCAAGGGCCTGAGTTCAATTCCCAGTTCCGAAAAAAAATTTAAAAAATAAATTTTATTTTAAAACACATTAAATAAAATTCAGAATCCAGGAAGATTAGAGATCCTCATTCCATGATCGTAATACAATTATGTTGGTCACTGTGGTACATTTTCATATACATAATTATTTAAAAAAAGCCTGTTTGAAAGCCATTTTATATTGTAATTTTTCTGTTTTGGCTGTGTTATTTACTGTGTCCCAGGAGCTTTACCTGGTTTGCTCTGGGGTCTCACCGTGGTCATGCTGCACTGTGGCCTTGCAGCTGTCGTGGTCGAGAGCAGTATGATTGGCTCATCTGTGACATGGAAATGGGTCCAGGACTTGAGCCAGGGTGTGGATCCTCCAGTAGGAGGGATGGTGGAAGCAGAGGCTTTGAGGACAGGGTGACAGAGGGACCTGGGGCAGGAGCTGTGTCCGGGGAGATCTTAGGCTGTAAGCTGGCAGGCCAGTCGGGGCCTGGGCCCGGAGCCTAGACTGTAAGTACGTGGAAGGTACTGCGGTTTTTAAGTGATGATTCCATGGCTTACCTAGGCAATGGGAAAAGCAGATGCACACTCTAGATGAACAGAAACCCAAGGCTTCGTGTGCTCCTACACTTTGAAGACCCCTTATTTACTGGGTGTATGATCTATCATTTTTCTACTCCCTGCTCATAACCCATAATCAGTTTCCCTTTGTTTCTTGTTTGTTTGTTTTGTTTTGTTTTTGTATTTTTTTAGGGGAGGGTCTACAGGGTGTTCAGGTTCTCACTACTAGATCAGACTCATAGTGATCTGCCTGTTTACAGCCTCCCGAGA